TTTAACGATTTGTAATTTTTAGAGGAGTTTTAGAATTGAATGAGGAACGTTCTTCCAAATTTTTATTTGTCTCGTAGCACCTCCTAAATATCCTTAAATTTATAGTATGTGGAAATTTCGCTTTCTTACAATTCTTACTACTCTAAATAGTTTTTTTTCTGGAATCGCAATTTTATTTGATTTATTTTTACGTTATATTCGATACCATACTTCTTTAAGTACCTATCTGCTAGTTCTTTTCTTTTGGATATTATATCGTTTTTCAAAACTACTTAGAGTGAATTGTTAAAATAACTCATATTTCTTCATTTTTTAAATACAAAGATTTACTTTATTATTTATATCTTAAAGTAATAAGTAGTTAATTAAAAAGAAGTTTATTTTGTAAGAACTATTAGTTCTGTCTGATGGAAAATTCTCGAAAATATTTTTCATAAATGCTGGAATTTATCACACCATCAGTATACAAAAGACGAATATAAAAGTGGATTGCATTTTTTTGTCCTCTTTTTTATTATATTGTGCATGTAAATATTATTAAATATTTAAAAAATGAAGTAGATAAAGGCACTTATACGTAATAATTAATAGGTATTCGACCACTTCAAGATTTCAATTTCTTAAATAATTTTTTCAATAATCTTTCGGTGCTCTATTTAATTTTATTATTTTAGCTAGTACGAGAAAATACAAAAATTTAGTAATATACCTTTCAGATGAATGTGAAAATTTAAATAATTAATTTGAAACGCCACGCTATTGTAATAATTAAAGTAATATCCTGATTTATAATCTGATAAAATCTAATCTCATTTCTATTAGTCAATCATCCAACTTACTTTTAATTAAATTATAAAAATTTTTACAATAGAAGAGCTATATTATGTACATATTGTATATGTTTATTTGTTTCATTATCTATGAATGACGTAAACTCATCAAGGAAATGATGACCTCTAAGCATTGTCTTTAGCAGTCGAGCCTGGCACCACATTTGTTCAGTACGTTATATCATCATTGTCTACAGTTTCACGTGGTTATTGTTTAACGATATTTGAGTGATTTTCTCGTTATTGTTATAGTAAGTTAGTTCAATTTGATGTTTTTGTAATGAATACAATAATTACAGTAAAAAGTAAGTGAAATGGATTCAAAACACTACGGAAAATTTCCAGTATAGAAGGTAGGCGTTGAATAAATAGTGTAAATTACTACTAATTTTGTACATTAAAGAGAGAGTACACTATAATATACATGTATATATCCGCATAAAAATATTAATAAAATTATACTATAGGTATAGAAATAATCCGTGGTTAGGAAGTATACAATCTGCCATATACCCATGTTTATGTGATAAAAACCACTTTTACTGCTATTTTGCATTTTAAGAATTTCATTGATGTATACATTATAAAAATTATTTCTTTTTGTTGCAGAGTTAATCAGGACGGAATAAGGGCAACCCTACGCAGAGGGTAAGTCTTAAATGTATTTTTATTAGATACTAAAGCCGAAATTGCCTCTATTTTTGTGATCGATTTTGTTTTTGAAGAATATTGCTGTTACAATTCTATTCTTAACCTTGTAATTCTTTTTTTTTAGTACGTTTGATAATTTTTTGTGTTGATTAATATTTCTTTGTTTCAGATAATCATAAAACCTTTAAGGACTTTTACTATGGAAATGGCGTTTTCTTGATTAATTGGAGATAAAATTCGTTTTGAAAATTTACCTACCTGCGTCCTTACACCATAATAGAGTTCCATGGCCTTCCACACAGCGCAGGAGAATGGACCATTTTTCCATGTTCTATGCTTTACGCTGAGCAGTAGTTTTATTGTATTATTGTTATAAAAAGTGAATTTATTGAGAAACCTTTGCGTTAAATTGCTACCTTTATTTCGTATAATTAATTTTTTCAGGCGTTACTTGTTAATTCCTTTGAGAGAAATTACTTGCATATTTATTTTGTTCCAAATTTTTATTTGCTTTTAATAGAGTCTTTCTTAATGTGAAATAATTAAGCATGTTTGATTAATTTACTGAGTTACATTCACGCTTCAAGTTAATAAACATGTGAAATTGATTTTATGTTATATTTTCGATTTCTTTGTTTAGATCTCTTTCAGTTTGGACTTTAGGGGTAGCAATTTTATATAATTTAAAAAAATACAAGAAACGTCCAGTAAGAATTCAATAAAGTCACTTTTGAAACTTAGTATTTAAGAAATATTTTGGTAATATTATTATAATAAGATAGTAATAGTTTTAGTATTAGTTTTTATTAGATATATATTTATGATTTGTATTATATAGTGCAGGTACATTTATCGTTACTATGATAGGTTAAAAGTATTTATTTCACGATCAGTATCATATTTAAATATTTGCAAATATTTAAGTATTGTAAATAAACAAGGGGGAAAAAGGGATTTATTGTGGGGAGAGATTGAGGGCGAAAAGAATTTCAATGAAAGGAGGTGCAAGGAATTGGGAATGAGAATGGAATATTGATAGGGTGAAGGCGTTAATCGTAGTGTAAGGGTGCGAAGGTGACAATACAATGTGTATGAATGTATGTGTGACAAAGATAGATTAAAGATAAATGTTTGACAGAAATAGGTATGTACGTGTAAGGGTGATACTGGTAATGAAAAGTTGGAAGGAATGAATAAAAATGTCTGGGGTAGTGAAGATGTAAAAGTGAATGAATATTGTGAAGGTGAAATGAACAAAAGGAGAGTGAAATTAATTAGTATGTAGTAATGTGTGAGAGACAGAGGTAGCAGGAGAGAATGGGGATGCATTAGCGTAAACTGTCACATCTCTGTTCACCCTGATGCATTCCTTTCTGTAAGGGTATGAAAGAGAGTACAAAGGAGAAAATGATGGGTGACAGGAGGTGTAAAAGTGTGAATGTATGAACGTATGAAATGTGGGTGAACTGTCTCACCCTTGTTTACGTGAGGGTATGAAAGAGAGTATAAACGAGAGTATGTGGGGTGTGAATGCTTGGGAGAGGTATAATTACTATTACGTATGAACGAGAACGTGAGGGATATGGGTGCATGACAGGGGGTGTACTTGTGTGGAATATAATGTGAATGTATGAAAGGATGCATTAGGGTGAATATCACACCCCTGTGTGTATGAGAAGGATGTAAAGTGAGGAGAATGAATGCATGAGACCAGTTGTAAATGTGCGAAAGAGGTAAGAATGAGGATGCATGAGGGTGAATTGTCACACCCGTATTCACCGTCATGCATTCTTATTCTCTACCATTACGTGTAAGGGTATGAAAGAATGTACGAACGAATGTGAGAAGAATGAATGAGTAAGAAGGGGTGTGATGTGAGTGGGGATGCGAATCAGAATGAGGAGTGGAATGTGATGTATGAGAAGGGGGTGTGAATGTGTATGTATGAGAGGGGGTACGAGTGTGTGCGTATGAGAGGGGTGTGAATGTGTATGTATGAGAGGGAGTATGTGGGTATGTGTGTGCGTGTATGAGAGGGGGTACGAATGTGTGCGCGTGTGTGTGTATGAGAGGGGTGTGAATGTTGTGTGTGTGTGTGTATGAGAGGGGTGTGAATGTGCGCGAGGGGGTGTGAATGAGGGCCGGGGGGGACCCGGGGGGCGGGGGATGATCAAATAAAAGAACATAGAACCTTACGATGTGTTTTATTTATAAAAATGAATTTTTCACGCCTACCAGGTTTAGCGCGAAAGGTTTTGTTAATTCGAAGACCGTCCGGGACAAGGCCCAGACGCTTGGAGCATCCAAATTCGAACTGGAAGTCCCCATGCTTGAAATTTCGGAAGTTTCGAGATACCGAGTTTCAGAAACTTCGAAATCCAAATCTCAGGATCTCCAAAACAGATTAATCCCGAAGGATTAATCGTTTTGGCAACCCCGAGATCCGAATTCCGAAGTTTCCGAGTCTCGGGACGTCGAAAATTCCGAGATCGCAGGCATGGAGACATCCAAATTCGAATTTGGACGCTCCATGACACTCCCGAAACACTCCCGACCGAAAATCCCGAACGAGGTCCAGTCCTCTGGTAGATGGTGGAGCAGCACATGGATGCAGTAACGGCCGAAGATGGTGATGACGTCCTGCAAAAAAAAAACATAATTATTATTAGCAGAGCAGATGCATAAGTAGCAGTTTCTTAATTTATATTTCAAAATATTTTTTTAAATAAATTCTTGTTTTCAATGTCAGGAAACTTTTGAACTTTATTCTGATTGTTTTTAATTTCTCAGTGAAACACATTTTTGTAATTTAGCGCTTATTATTTTGCCTATTTATTGTCATAACAATTGAAGAGTAATTTATTGTTGAATAATTGCTAACTATGAAAGACTCAGCAAAAACAAATGCTAAACTTTAAATATATGAAAATTTGATTACGTAAACAAAATTATCTGTTTGAAATAAAATGAAATAGTCCTTAGAAACGATAATAGTGGATTTTTTAAATTTTTTTTATATTTTTATATACTTTATTAGGTATAAGTCAGGGGCGAACCATCAGAATGATATATTAAGAAATCTCCTAAAGAAATTTGCTAGATTGAAACCAAGTGGAATGGATTTGTTACGTTATTGGGAATGAATAACCTGAATAATATTTTTTTGTTCAAATAGCGTGTAGTTTATTATTAACAAAGTCGCCAAATGAAGAAATATCAACAAATCGTTTTACTGTTTACCTTTGTTAGGTTAATTTATCAGAAATAAATACGTTTTTTCTTGGAAGTTTTTGAAAAATGCACTTATTTCGAGTTATTGTCGATTTTGAGTTCAAAAGTATGTGTCCAAAAGTTGACGTTTCCAAAAAGTCCCACCTCAGATTTTACTAAACCTTTTTTAACGCAAAACGAAAACTTTAATGTAATATTTTTTGTAATAAGGCAACGTTTCGTTTCCATCCTGAAGTTTTTCATCGAAATATTGCTATTTTTTTTATCTTGCGATATTTTGATGTAAAATTTCAGGGTGAAAATGAAAAGATGCATTATTATAAATCATACTAGATAAAAATATAGGTATTAGCAATCATTTTAAGACTTGAAACGTTAAAAAAGATTCAATAGAGATTAAGAAGATATGAAATTTTAAGCATTTCGGACTTTAAATTAATTATAACTCAAAAAGGTCGCATTTTTCAAAAATTTGCCAATTGACAAAATGTATTTTTTTTTATCAATGATCTAACAAACCAATACAACTTTTTGTTAACAGCAAATTACCTGTCAAAACTTTATCTAGATTTTTTGTTCTCAATAACGAAATAAATCTATTCCAGCTGGTTTTAATTTGGCAATTTTTTTTGGGAGGTTCAGTGATTTCTGATGGTTCACCGCTGACTTATACCTAATAAAGTATATTAACATTATGTAAAATATCTATTTAAAAGAAAATTTTAAAATATCCACCATTATTGTTTCTAAGGACTACTTCTTTTTATTTCAAACAGATAATTTTGTTTACGTAATCAAGGTTTCATATATTTAAAGTTTAGTATTTGTTTTAGTTGAGTTTTCCACCGTTAGCAATTACTAAACAATAAATTGCTTTTCAACTATTATGACGATAAACAGGCAAAATAAAAAGGGCTAAATTACGAAAATGTAAAACAAAAATTATCTGTGAGAAATTACAACAAATGACTACTTATGCAATCAGAGTACAAATTATTTAAAGTTTAAAAGTTTCCTGACATTGAAAATAAAAATTTATTTAAAACATTATTTTGAGATATAAATTAAGAAACTGCTACATTAATTTTATTTATTAAATTCAAATGCCTGTTTAAAATAAAAATAAAGAAAATCGTTATAAAAAGATAAAAGAAGATACTCAGACTATTATAAAAAAAACCATTTTCTCCGGGTGAAAATATGTCAGGAAAAATTATTATATTTAAATGTCTACAAAAAAACAATAGAAAAATGTGACGGTTGTGAACAATAAAAAAGAACAATAATCAAAAATTCAAAGAGCAAAAGTCGAGTAGGAGCTAGACTTCATTGATTATATTTAAACATCCAGTTTCATAGCTTAAGATAAATAATAAATTACAAAATAACCAATACATCATGAAAAACAGTAACAAACTTACCGATGTGATCAGGATCCATCATTGCATCCTTAATGCAGCACGAAAGCTCCACTGGACCTCAGTCCTTCCCCAGGAAGGAAAAGGAAAACAATTAAGCTGCAACAACATCAAATATTCATTTTAATGCCAAGCATAACTTTTTAATGATTTTGCACTTCATAAGCTTTAAAGTTTCTAATTGATAAGCTACTGTGTATATGGCAAAGATATAAGTTAAAGTTAACTTTATATAACGTCTGGCACAAGCTAATTATAAGTAGATTAAAAATTAAACCCTTATTAAACAACGCCGTAACTAATTTATTTTAAATACGTTTGAAAATCTGTTTGTGGCGTCCGAATGAACACACTTCAGTACATAAAATGCCCGATATAGCATACAGAAGTTTTAGATTGGTCAATATTGATTTGTTTTTAACGTAATATAAATGCGTCAGTCTGCCACACTACAACCCCCTTACTTGAGACCCAATTTAAAATTTGTTTAAATATAAGAATATACAGTGTGGAAATTAAGTAACACATAAGTTCAGTAATTCCGTTGATATTATTTTTGTTCCTTTTGGGTATAGCCATTTATTTAAACTTCAGTAAATATTTTCAGTCTAATTTTAGTTTATTGATGTCTTTTTCTGTTCGTGTTACGTCATGTTTTTTTTTTTAAATAACAACCCTTATCTTTTAAATAGTAAGTACCTAATTTTTGTTGAGTATCCAACTGTAGAAAGTTTTGATTTCAATGTACTACATTTGAAAAAAATTAAGAAAGAGAATCTTAAAATTGAAATATTAAAAATTGTTTAAATTTTACCAGTGTGAAACAAAAAGCGTTAATTACGACTTGTCTGTATATGGCGATTTTATGATGTAAAGAGAGAGAGAGAAAGAAAGAAAAATTGAAAAAAATGATGCAATGGAAATGAGGGATGCTTAAAAGAATAAGGAAGATTAAAAAAAAAAGAAAATAGTGGAACAGGATCAGAGGATTATGAGCTTGGGGAGAGAAATGAGAAGGATAAATAAAAAAAGAATATGAACATTATGGTTTCTGGTTTGGAGCGGTGGTCAATGGACTAAAGGGTTGAAATTGATGGAATAGAAGGTAAAACTTGATGTGAAAAATTGTGGAAATTTAGAATGTGAAAAAAAAGTTATTTGGGGCAAAGGTAGGAAGTATAGAACAGACAACAAAGATATTGTAAATAAGGGAAATGAATACTGGCAGGTGTAAAGAAAAAGCAAGGAGTTTTGGGGATTTTGTCAAAAAATTAGAAGCAATTTTGTTATCTGAAACTTAGTCGGAATATAAAGACAGGGAAAATGGAAAATATTCTGGATGACAATTGTAATTGGACAATTGCAAATGCCGTTAGGACAGGAAGAAAAGATAGGGCAAAGGAGGTTTCAATGGAAATGGAGGTATTCACGTAATAAGGAAATTATAATGGCAAAACGGAAAATGGTAATTTTCCTTGTATGTTTGAATAAACTAAAAAAGAAAAGGTTTGGATTAGTAGAAGGACATATTAAAATGTATGTAAGATATTAATTGTAGGAGATTTCAATGCAAGAAGCAGAAAATTCAAGATATGATTATTCAAATAAAAAGGAAAAGTGTTTATGCAATGGGAATTATCTGTACATGGTGTAAATATAAAAGGGAAATTGTAAGTGTAACTGCCTTTTTTGCATTTAAGTTAACACATCTCGAGCAAGTGAGGAAAAGATAGGGTAAACTAGGTTAATAAAGAAGTTCGTTAGTTTACAATATGTTGTAGGTATTTATTATTTTAATTGAGTCCAAGGAATGTATTTTATTTTCCTTTTTTAATGTGTGACTTAAGAAAATAAAAATAAATTGAAACCACTAGCTAAAATTTAAGTTGCTATATCTATTTGAGACATTCCAAACAATGAATATCAACTGAATAATTACTGAATTTATTTCTTATTTAATTTCCTGTATGCAATGTCAAAATAAAAAATCTAGTCTCTCAAAATGTACCTACAAGGAGTGAAGTTTTTTACGCTAATTTAGCTCAATAAAAGCGTTTAAATATTGAAACTTAATACGGTGCCTTTTCCAAACCGTCAAATACAATTTACAGACCAGTCAAAAATGTCTGCAAAATACTGAATTTTTCTCGATCTTGCAAAGGCAGACGTCACTTATTTGCAATGCTACATCTCACTTTCTTGTGATCCGATTCAAAGCACGTCTTAACTAACAGAAAGGGTGGGCTTCAGTACATAGAATGCACTTCAGTTACGAAATAAAAGCTTTGAGCTCTGTAAAAGTACTAGTCGAGGCAATGAATTTTTCTCGATTTTGTAAAAATAGAAGTTACTTTTCGATGCAGTAATTTGCTTATATTAGAGATATGGCCTAAAAGAGTTACAGAAAAAAGAGAAATTCAGTAAGTCCATAGTTTATTTTTTCAAATGGGATAAAAAAAATTACAGACACAATCTCGCTTGTTTGAGGCCAAATAATTTATTTAAATCATGGAAATTTTAAATTATTACAGTGAAATACTACGAAAACACTAAACTTTTAAAAAATTTACCAACATTTATGAACAATTGAACGATTACAAACTCACCGTTCCAACCTCAGTCTCCTGCTTCCTTTTATCCTTCCCCAATCTCCTGCTTGCTTTCTAGCGTCTCTCTCTTCTTTCTCAAGCAACTATAACAATATCATCAATGAATTATTAAAATCCGTAAGTCAGTTATGTTTTTAAATTATCAAAGTAAAATACTACAAAAATACTAAACTTTTCAAAAATTTACTTAAGTATAATTTCAGAACAAGTTAATAAAAAGCATGGATGGTTGTTGTAAGTTATTACAAAGCTTAAAGCACATGTATAAATGGAAAATTCTGGTTTCTAGGAAATTCAATATTAAAAATTAAAAATAAGATCAAATTACCAACATTTATTAACAATTAAGTGAACGATTAGAAACTCACCAATCCAATATCAGTCTCCTGCGTCCTTTCATCCTACCCCGATCTCCTACTTCCTTTCTTGCGTCTCTTTCTTCTTTCTCAAGCAACTATAACAATCAAGTAATTATTAAAATGTATGTCAATTAGTTTATTTTTCACAAATTGTGTATGTATTTGAATTTACAATTGGAAAGATATATACTGAAGGAAAGGCTAAAGTAGTATACTTAACAAAATGTCATCCAACAATAAATCTAACACTATAAATAAACTTACCTATCAAAAGAAGAATATCTATTGTTGAACTTGTAAAACTAACCCCTGCAATGGTCCATCTATAATAAAAATTGTAATCAGATAAATTTTACAGTTTACAAATATTATTTAAAAAATTCCTCTTTGAAATGTGAATTTATGAAGTAATTAAACAGCAAAAACTAGTCAGTGATTTACCACATTTAAAGAAACTGAGTAAACCCTCATTAAATATTTATTTTCGTTATCACAATTGGGCAGTCACCTCTACTTCTTCCTATCCTGAACAGATCTTTGCATTTCCAAACCTCCAGCATCCCATCTTTCCTTTTTATTATTGACCTTTCGTTTGTTCACATTCTCAATAGTTCCCCATTTCAAACCTTTTCCACGCATGGTATTACCAACACCCTGTTTTTCAAAGAAGCAATTAATCTTTAAACCAAATAAAAACAATCCAACAAATTATTATGGATAATCTTCATTTTAGAAATTAAAAAACATTGTTATTTTTAACCATTACAACGCTTGAAGTACGATTATAATAGAGATTCAATCTTTAGAAAGAGACAGCTGGTAAAAACTAGGAAAAGTTGTATGCAAGTATTTTTAATGTTTCATGAACAAATTAAAAAGATACAGAAAATGCTAAATAGATAATACAAGACGCTCACCATTGTAATAATCAGCACGACGAGGCCCCTTAGATCGTTATCTGCAACACTTCTTCCCCAAACAACTGCAACGAAATTAATTCTTAGTCATCAAAGCCTCCAAAACAATCAATTATTTAAACAATCATATATTATTTTAAATAACCGTTACAAAACAACTGTATGGTTGATAAGTCTAAAATAAACTTTATAAAAGCTTCTCTTTTTGCGATAATTCTGATCACAAAGATGAAAAGTGCAATTTTTTGAACGTTAAAGAATTTCAGAATACCATATTATTTTTCGATACATCAGAAGTACCCATACCCACGAAATTCTCCTTGATGTCAAGAAGACACGTTAGAAAAGAGCTTTTTGTAAGGTATCTAATCGAATAAATACTTATGTAAATTACCATATATCAATCAAATAAAACACTAACCTGTATTTTCATTAAACTTAAATTACGACTAATTAAAATCCAAGAATAGTATAAAAATCCTTTATAACAAATTAAAGACAAACTGTAACTATTATTTCAAAAAAGTGCCTTAGCACAGAAAAACACGATACAAACGGATTCCCTTTGTACAAGAGAATATTAAGCAAGATGACTTTATCACTGTTAGATTTTCAAACAAAGAAATGTACTGTGTAGATGTTTATTAATAAAGTTCCGGATGTAATTTTTAAAACAAGGTTATTAAAATTTTATATACAAATGAAGATAATTCGTAAGATAACATTCGTAATATTTTAGTACGAGAACGAATACACTTATATTAGGCATACTTTTCTAGTCAGATAGACAAGGTCACTGATTCATACAAATTCGATAACAAAAAAACCATCAGGACGACCAACAACGATTAATTTTTAACCGAGAGTTTTGGAAATATCAGAGTAATATGTATATGTAAAAACGTAGAAATAAAACGGTATTATTTAAACGCAAAATTAGTAAGATATTACAAACAGCAACAAGGGTTAAAAGGGGTAGAGGAAGACTTTGATTAGAATAGTGTTCGTAACTGTTAAGAATGTAGGTTATAGTAGCTATCTAAAAATGCGAAAATTGACGAGTTAGGAAAAACTTTTTGATTTTAATAGTTTGATAATACAAATTAATCATCGCCTAGGACAAATTGGAATACAACTGGAACACTCCTGACAATTTTTTACTATAATTTAAAGGCTTGCTTAATTACTGTGTAAAAACTTGAAATTTTTTATGAAAAAAAAAAGCAAAACCATCCCAGTAACCAAGGGCCCCCCATATATCGATTAATCCGCAACCACCTACAACTTCCATATTACGCATGAACGCAACTGAAAGCTGTAGGTAGCTGAAGATGAACCGATAAAGAGCGTTAGCCTGGCCCAGCCGGATGATTAGTAATATACGACGTCTAGGCATATCTCTCCAGCTACTTCCTGAACCCTGCGTACACCTATGGCCACTCAGTGTACGGGCAGTACAATAACCTTCGAGATATAACCCTATTACCGTCTATGTAACCAACTAGCCGTTCTCTTATACCTCTCGCGCAGCTTCAATGTGCTGTGAGAGCTAAGCTTCAAACACTTTTGTTTTCACAACTGAAAAAATAATTAATCTTTTCACCCTTTAAACACTAATCAAATGATAAAATGAGGTGAATTGTAGAACGATTTTTCCATATCATAAATAAAACCGTGTAAAATAACAATTAATCTTAAATTCAAAATAATCACTAAACCAACTTTACTTAATTAAAGCAAACGAAAGTAAAGTTTCAAATATATATATATATTAATAGTTCACATCAATTGTTTCACCAAAACATTGGTTTCTTAAGGTGATGATATTCGCTATATATTTTTTGAAACTTTACTTTCGTTTCCCTTAATTGATTATGGAGTTTTTTCAACATGTAAAGCCTTGTACCATTAACAACGTTTCTTAATTGTGAAATAATATAGGTACTAATGTTTCTTACATTAATTCTCCCGAATTTTAAACAAAAATTATCATTTATTTCAATACAACTTATATCCATAGAAGGAAGAAAACAAATCAAAAATGATAGCAAAATTTTGAGTACAAAAATCAAATGTGAAAACCTCACCGAAGCTTAACTGTCACCGTTAATTTTCAATCACAAAAACTACATGTACCCTAGTTTATGCTGGCTTTTTCCATGGACATCACACCTCACATTATAACGACATGATCGTGAAATGTGAATTTATGAAGTAATTAAACAGCAAAAACTAGTCAGTGATTTACCACATTTAAAGAAACTGAGTAAACCCTCATTAAATATTTATTTTCGTTATCACAATTGGGCAGTCACCTCTACTTCTTCCTATCCTGAACAGATCTTTGCATTTCCAAACCTCCAGCATCCCATCTTTCCTTTTTATTATTGACCTTTCGTTTGTTCACATTCTCAATAGTTCCCCATTTCAAACCTTTTCCACGCATGGTATTACCAACACCCTGTTTTTCAAAGAAGCAATTAATCTTTAAACCAAATAAAAACAATCCAACAAATTATTATGGATAATCTTCATTTTAGAAATTAAAAAACATTGTTATTTTTAACCATTACAACGCTTGAAGTACGATTATAATAGAGATTCAATCTTTAGAAAGAGACAGCTGGTAAAAACTAGGAAAAGTTGTATGCAAGTATTTTTAATGTTTCATGAACAAATTAAAAAGATACAGAAAATGATTGTGGGACAAGAAAGACCTTTGCTGAAAAGTAGTAATTTAATATTGAGGGATTTCACACCCTATAAATAACCTTTAAATTATTTCATGGCATTATCCTACTTAAAATGTTTCTTGGAGTTCAGATACAAAAAATGATTATGAGACAAGAACAACTTCCCTCGAAAAATAATAATTCAATATTGAAGGGTAGGTATAACATCTTGTAAATAATCCTTAGAACAGCTGACAAATAGTTTCGCTGGTTTAATCCTACCAGAAGTGACTCCTACAGCTTAGATGCAGAAAAATATTGTAGGACAAGAAAGACTTCCACTGCATAATAATAATTTAATACTGAAGGGTTTCGCGCCGAACAATTAATCCTCACACAAAGGTCCTCCGCCGTATCAATCAAATACTAACAGGAATTTTTTTGTAAATATCGAAAGTGAAATGCAGAATAAACGGCAAACCTAAAGTAGCTATATTATTTAGACCACTGTTTTATGTCAGTTCCCAACATAAAGTATACGAGACATAAGAGTTAATTTTCATATTATTTACAGCTTTAGTAGGTAAAATTAACAGGAGAATGCTAAGTAATGTATGGCTCGTTATAGATTAATCTTAATGGAAACCATCCATTAAAAGACTGAAGGTCCCCTCAATTCCTGGCGATCCTCCCTGAAGACACCTTCATTTACTAGGGAAACGTACCTAAGCTACTGCTGTAGGTAACAAGAATTTCATCAAAGTTCACGGAAGGGCCATTAACGTTAATAACTTCTAGTAAGTAGCTCTCGGGCAATTTATTTTGTACCTTATGCAGTGTCACAGCATAACTACTTGCTATACGATGATGCCCTGCGCCATGAAATGGGGTTAGAATGCAAGGAGCTTCCTGAGCAGCTCACGTTGTGCATGCCGACCGGTTCTCTACAACATCTGTTTCGGATGTCTTTGTCGGGATACGAAAAAGCAAAATTAGACAGGAATATCGCGAACGAACTTCGTTGCCAAGTCTGACAATAGGGACCGCGGACATTCAAACACCATCAGTTTCCTTGTAGTCCTTATAGTCGAGTCAAATGAGGGAAATGGCTGAAGGGTACCTTTTAATGGAGAAAATTATTGAAACACGGGTCATTTTATCGGAAATTTCGTGAGGAGCAAGAATATTTAATATGAAAATTATTTGCCTGGCTTAGGAGGGGGGAAGACAAATCCGCAAAAACAATTGCAAATTTGATTATCACGCGAAATATGAAAGAAATGAAAAAACTTTCAATAAAAGCTTTTCAGAATGCCATTTTGCAAAATAATTATTAAAAATATACATTATTAATCGGTTAAACTATCTTTTCAGAGAATTTTTTTTCTTTATCTATTATTTCATTGTTTTTTTAAACAGTTAAATGTTTAAACCGCTATAACTCCATTAAAAATTGTCCAAACGAAAATGTAAATCGCGAATTTGTTCTGTTTAGGCTGATACAAATTTTGATGCGAAAGGTACGCATTTGGACAATTTTTAACGGAGTTATACATAAAAGAAATTTTTTTTTACTGAAAAGATAGTTAACAAATTAAGATAAGTTATGAATCCATTAAGTTATCAATATTAAATTTTCAATAATTATTTTGAATTTTTTAAAAACTTCTACTAATTTTGAGGCCTTTTTGCCATTGGGCGCACAGAACTTTTGTTTGTTTTTGCAAAATGGCATTGTGAGGAACTTTTATTGAAAGTTTGTTTCCATATCTTTTGTATTTCGCGAGATGATCGAATTTGCAATTGTTTTTGAGGATTTTCTCCCTCCTATGTGTTTCAATAATTTTCTCCATTATAAGGTACTCTTCAGCCATTTCCCTAATTTGACTGGACCATTAAGGTAAATGTGCAAGAATTATACTTATACAAATGAGAAAATGGTTTTATTAACATACATAAAAATTTAGTTAACGAAAAATTCTAAATGGTCCTTCAGTTTTGATCTGAAGTGCTTTTCAAATCCGAAGATTTATTTTTTTTTGCTTTTTAGGGTTCCTTATCTCGAAAAGAAAAAAGAAACCCTTATAGAATCACTTCGTAGACCGCTTGTCTGTCTGTCTGTCTGTCTATCAAGAGCCCTTTTTAGTATTAATATCAAATACTCAGGTCCATCTCTTCGAGCTGTGAAGAAATCAAAGTCAATAGTTAATTTTAACTCTTGCAAGGGAATTAAAAACTGTAGGATATTTCCCGTTGCCTAGAAGAATTTATTAATTGTAATATTTTAATTATGAGTATTCGGGACTGATTTAGGGGTAGGAAACTTAAACACCGGGAAAATTCTTCGAAATTCGATTCCCGTGATTACAAGTTTGAAGGGAATCCTGGGTGCTTGAGTCGGAATCACACTTTATGGTGTCAAGAAAAATGAGAAAAAATTGCTCGTTTTCGCAGAAGATGCTTAGCAGAGAAGACCATGGTTTGAATTCTGCGTTATATAAAAAAGTTATTGGATCCAATTTGGCAACGCAGCTCCTTGGAAGAATTGAAGCATTACAAGTATTTATAGATACGTACGAGTGTTTTGATTCTATTTTTGAACCACCAATCTACGACATACGTCCCGAATATTTACACTTCCGAAAGTCACCAAAAATAGATAGAGGCATGTTCTATTTGCGTTATTACGTACCTTAGGTGATTGTTTCGGATTGAGCAGCCTCAGTTCGGCGGAACGCGTTTGCCTAACACCAAATAGCATGGGCACGGGTTGAAACTCTTGTTTGTTGGAATTTTCGAAATATCATTTAAAAAGTCGTACTAGTTATTCATATTACGACAAAAAGGTACATTAATCAAAACGTTTATGCTAGACTTGGTGTAGTGTTTCCGAATTTAACTACTCTAAAGTTGTGTGAGAAATTGTGTCCAAAAAAGAAATAATAGCATAAGAAAAAGTTTGGAGTTTCATGTGAAAGCGAATTTTCTTGTTGTCAACATTTTGTTTGCACAGGATTCAAAATTGTAGATAATTACCATGTTCGTATTAGAACTCTAACTGGGTTCACGTGATATCTTCATCACCCCCAAGGACTTGAATCACTATTTGCTTACAAGTAATTACCGTTTAGATAACTAAGACAGGGTGTCCCGTCTGTCCTCTGCAAACATTAATTCTGTCGCTCGACAAACCCCTCATTTTCCGATAAAACTATCTCCCGTAGGCACGAAGGTCCTCAAAATTAACTACACTCGTTCTCGAGACAATGGATCGAAAAATAAACGAACGTAATCGAAAGTGACGACGATAGAGAAATGTTGTTTTAAAAGAACGAACCCGACTAAATTGAAAGTATGGCCTTTTCGGTGTGTAATTTATTTTTTACGATTATCGTCTTAGTAACGCTTGTAATCGTCCTCCCTAAAATTGACGCTTCCAACGTTGTGCGTTACACACGGATCATTAAACTTAAACAGGGTAAGTGAATAAATTACTAATTGTCCCGTAAATATAAATTGCCTCGTTAAACAATGATTTGTTCCTGTTGAAGGTAGACCATATTATTTAATATGGCGAGTAAAGGGAAGATTAACATAAATGTTATATTGGTCTTAAAGTGGGGATATAGGAACTTGCTCTTGATCTTGTTCTTGGTGTTTGTTTTGTACTGTCCAGTTTTATTATTTTCTGCGATTAATTACCTACCTACACATATTTAGCTGTTAAGGGGTAACTAAGAGCCACATAATTCTGATTCTGTCCTATTTGAATTTGTTATCAATGATTAGACGAATTTAGGAAAGGAAACTTGTTCATACCGGGTGACGGAAAATTTGACCTATTCCTTGAAAGCTAGAAGTAACGATAATTTTAAGACTTGTTATTAAAAGCACATGATTGTAAAAGAAATTAATATTCTACCAACTGAGAACATTAAATTGATACTTTTCTAAAAGTCAATAAATAAAAGATCATTATCATTAAAATTAGAAATAGACGGTCTTAAGTGTTATTGATGATTATTTTTTGTATGTTCTTGAAATATCGCCCAGTATTAGGTACTCGAAAGTAAGTAAGTATGACAATTATACAAAATGAATGGATTGATTCCTTATTCTTTAAGCTTTTTCAGATGCAATTGATTATCTACTAACTTTGAAGTTGGATCCTAATGAAAAACTCAAAGAATGCCCTCCTAATGAAAAACTCAAAGAAGTTTTTTTTGCACTCCCAAGTGCAGCATGATTGGTAAATTTCGGACGACTTTGGAATAGTTTGTTTACAATAATATTTTGGGTAGTAAATTTTAAAATATCTAAAAATTAGTAAAAGTTTTGGTAATAAGTCTTAAAATGTGTAAAAAATCGTAAAACTTTATAACTTAGTAACATTTCATTTTTCATATGGTTGATAGAGCTGCTGTAAAAACGACTTTTAGTATGACCCCTTTCAATTTCAAGAAATCGGTCAAATTACCTGCTTAAAGATCAATATCCTTATGAAATTCTCTTTATTTTCAATTGATAAGATTCCTTAAGTTTGTAAATATACTCTGGCTCATAGTAAGGACCAAGACAAACAGTGAAAAATCAAGAACATCTTTGGTTGTCATTATTATTACTGTTATTACTCTTATGCTCGCAAATAAAAATGACTGAATGATATTCTTTCAAATAACCCAAACAGATGAAATATGTTGAACAACTGGAAATAAAATGTTTGAATATTTCAACAAAAATTTATTGTACTGTACGATATGCGGTCATTATCAGTTGCATTACAATATTGTCACACTCTCGATAATGATCGCATGAAGGTTGAAACAAATTGTAGAGTGCAATAGATTTCAGTTGAAACACAAAAATTTTGTTCCATTATTAATTTAGTCCTTTAAATTATTACTAATTCGGATTTACTGAAAACATCCTCACAATTCGACAGCATATTACAAACATCAACTGCAATTGGAAATAGTTATTCGTCATTGTATGGAGCTTAAATAAAAAAAAAAGCTTTCGCCAGACATTGAACCTTTGACTGACAGCTTTGTGTCATATTGTGTTTACGTATTAAACCAGAGAAAATATTTATTTCAAAATTCTAGTTACGTACACATTAAAACTTGCATTTGTGCCAACTGCTCTATTTAGCTAATTACTTCGAATAGACTGCGTTAATACCTGAATAATATGTTCCAAAATCACTTAATCTTGTTTCACGTTTAATGAATTTTAAAATTATGCAGTATATCACTCATTATTTGCAGGAATATGGACCTTAAAAAACCTCATTTATCGAAAACTAAGAGAAAAAGTTACCATATGCCTGTTTAAGTGAAGTTGTTGTATACATTACATGAATTGATAATGAAGAGCTTCTGGGCTTTTCTGCCATGGTCGAATTTTCATTGTACACGTTTCGCCAAGCTTAATAGATGGCATTTTCAGTGCTTCACGATGTATGATTATATATATTAAGCATGACGAAACGTCTGCAATTAGAATTCGACAGTGGCACAGAAGCCCAGAAGTTTTTCGTCATCAATTAAACCTCGGCCGTAAAAGCCTACGAACTACTGTGCATTATAAAAAGTCGGCAAGTCCATTGCTTATTTCATGAAAAATTTTGTTCTGATAAAATCATTAATAAATTTGTGTCAGTAACAGTCGAAAAATTATTCGCTAAATTCAAGATATTCAAACTATAACATGACATTATTTTAGAAAAAGCCAATAACTATTGATTTTTTGATATCAGGAAAAGAAAACCATTTTAATAATTTATAACTTTTCTGTATACCTAAAGAAGGGGGTTTCCCGAGATAAAGATGTTCAGTCTCTCAGAGTCTCTGAAAGCGAGACTCGAGTCTCCGTCTCTCATTGAGTCTCTCTTGTGTCGCTGAGAGAGACTGTCGAGAGACTGACTAAAAAAACCGTTCAGCGCCTCTGAACGAGAGACTCGAATCTCTCAATTTTTCAGTTTTATTCATTCAGTCTCTCTGAGAGACTCGAATCTCTGAATTAACAATTTTATCTTTCAGAGACTGTGAGAGATCCATAAAAACACCTAGGCAATAACTAAGAGGCGCTGAAAGACTCCGAAAATTTTATTTTTGTCTAGGGAAGACCTAAAAGGAACCGGAAGCAAACACATGCTTATACAGAAGTATGGTGGTAATGAAATTAATAAAAAAAAGCATTTTTGTTCACCCTTTTCTTATTCAAATCTCTATGTATCTTTTAATTCATTAAGATACTGCAGTGATGTTCTGGTAATTTTGTTGTTTAATAATCGCTGCTATACGTGGGTACGTTATAAAAAGATATCTTTTTGCTTGTGGAGGTGACGCAGCTTATTGTAGGATTAATATCAATCTTTTTTGACGTAGGCGCCACTGGAACTTTTATACGAAATTCCTGCTTTTTAAAAATACCCACATTTAAAGGCTCAATAGTGTAATTTAGATGCCGGAAACGCTATAGTTTGTTGAAATGTATGGCGTGGATACTGAATCAGTTAAAAATCACGTGTTCTGAAATCACATTAACATTTTCAATCTACATTTTTAGAACTACAAAGCCGACAATAAAACGAACAACACATCAGTAGCACAACCGCAACCCATTTTTCGGAAATAACGTCGAAATAAAAAACGTTGTATCCGGAATAAAAGAATTTTTTCTTCTTTCCCTAGTTGTATGAATTTTTTACATAATCAAAGCTAAAACGGGGCAGAGACTAATGGTTTTTAAGAGTCAATAAACATGTAACTTTCTAAACGTCAGGTACAAATTAATAAAAACATTACTACTAAATGTAATTAACAATTACATAAATAACCTATTATTGTATTTATTTATTAAATTGTTAATCATATTTAGTGTTAATTTTACTAATAATATGTAGCCGAATTTGCAAAGTAATCTTTATTTGATCTTACAAGCTAACCTTGAAACAATATGTAGTAAAAAAATTTTTTTATTCCGTTTGTGCTTCGATTAAGAAATAATTTTCATTGAAAATTGTATCACATACATATGTATTCATGTGAACCATACTAGTTTTGGTTGGTTGAAAGCTATTTCTAATATTTAAATAAATCATTATTACTTACCTAGCAGCTTTTGAAGGGATGTACGTAATCCAACTGAGATCTTAGTGTTTCGCCAAAACCATATCAAAGAAGGCGGGTTGTAAATTTTTGAGATGACTGAAGACACGTCCTGTAATAAATCCATAAAGTGGTTAAAATGCCTTTTACTTTACATACTATATCAACAAAAATATATCTTTATGAAAATCAGAGATGTGATTTACTTGAAATACTTGCATTTAAAAAGCAAATACAAAATAAAAATACCTATTTTTATCTTGCATTTAAATACTTTTTNTTGTTCACCCTTTTCTTATTCAAATCTCTATGTATCTTTTAATTCATTAAGATACTGCAGTGATGTTCTGGTAATTTTGTTGTTTAATAATCGCTGCTATACGTGGGTACGTTATAAAAAGATATCTTTTTGCTTGTGGAGGTGACGCAGCTTATTGTAGGATTAATATCAATCTTTTTTGACGTAGGCGCCACTGGAACTTTTATACGAAATTCCTGCTTTTTAAAAATACCCACATTTAAAGGCTCAATAGTGTAATTTAGATGCCGGAAACGCTATAGTTTGTTGAAATGTATGGCGTGGATACTGAATCAGTTAAAAATCACGTGTTCTGAAATCACATTAACATTTTCAATCTACATTTTTAGAACTACAAAGCCGACAATAAAACGAACAACACATCAGTAGCACAACCGCAACCCATTTTTCGGAAATAACGTCGAAATAAAAAACGTTGTATCCGGAATAAAAGAATTTTTTCTTCTTTCCCTAGTTGTATGAATTTTTTACATAATCAAAGCTAAAACGGGGCAGAGACTAATGGTTTTTAAGAGTCAATAAACATGTAACTTTCTAAACGTCAGGTACAAATTAATAAAAACATTACTACTAAATGTAATTAACAATTACATAAATAACCTATTATTGTATTTATTTATTAAATTGTTAATCATATTTAGTGTTAATTTTACTAATAATATGTAGCCGAATTTGCAAAGTAATCTTTATTTGATCTTACAAGCTAACCTTGAAACAATATGTAGTAAAAAAATTTTTTTATTCCGTTTGTGCTTCTCGATTAAGAAATAATTTTCATTGAAAATTGTATCACATACATATGTATTCATGTGAACCATACTAGTTTTGGTTGGTTGAAAGCTATTTCTAATATTTAAATAAATCATTATTACTTACCTAGCAGCTTTTGAAGGGATGTACGTAATCCAACTGAGATCTTAGTGTTTCGCCAAAACCATATCAAAGAAGGCGGGTTGTAAATTTTTGAGATGACTGAAGACACGTCCTGTAATAAATCCATAAAGTGGTTAAAATGCCTTTTACTTTACATACTATATCAACAAAAATATATCTTTATGAAAATCAGAGATGTGATTTACTTGAAATACTTGCATTTAAAAAGCAAATACAAAATAAAAATACCTATTTTTATCTTGCATTTAAATACTTTTTTGAGAAAAGCATTTTGTATTTTCTGTNATGAAATGTATATTGTATGTAAAAACGTATTTTCTATTTCTAAGATGGTTAAATAAACCGAAACATTACAAAAAACATATAGTTGTGTAATTAATTGACTACCACCCTGGAAAAAGCTACGTAAATAAATAAGTAAGACAATTCCATCATAATAGGAAGGATTCTAACAGCAGGATAAGTCCAGAAAGAAGTTTTCTAATACAAAACAAAGAACTTTGTGGGACGAGTATCATTATTTAATTAGGGATTATTTAGTGGACAACCGTAAAACACTAAAATAATGAGACAATAAAAAATGGTGAATATTAAATTTTTTAAAATAAGTAGTTCGAAATTATGAAAATAGTGAAACATCTTTATTTTTAATCTGATTCTTAATAACTAGTATTTCATTTGTTTCATTACTAATTTAGCTTGACTAAAGAACATTCTAGAGATGTCCTACTATATATCATTTTTAATTTACATATTAACTTCCGAAACAACTGAATAATAATAAATAACAAAATTATGTTTTGCGATTAGTGAATCACCTGTTAACAATTAGCAAGGAAACAGAATAAATATAATAAAAATCAAAAAGTTTTGCTACTTTAAGTGTACATGTTTTTAAACGATTTTGAAAAATGTTGAATTTTTCATCTAATTTCTTATTTTTATAATCCATTTTGTATAACAGTATTACCAAATCCAATTTTACAGATGTCATTCGTACCTATAATTATTTTCTATATTTTGTATAACAGTAGTTTATTTAACAGTACACTCTTTAACCATTTCATCCAGATAAATTGCAATGTATTTTAATGTTTCAAATAATAAACCAGAATAAGTTTCCCGTACCCTTAAACGGGCCCCTTGACAACGCTACTAATAGCAAGCTTTCCATTTTATAAAGGATACCAAACTTACCCATACATATCAATCCTTATCTGATGAACACTGACTGCACATGTATACTTCCATCTAAATATCAAAAGCTTTTACTTGATACTATACATAACCACGCGACGATTTACTGATGAACATCTTTTCCGCACTTATTTATTATTGTACATTTGTAATTAAATCGCCTTCATTTAATTCCACTTGAGAACAAACATATATATGACATCATTGTGATGATAACTTTGAAAAGACACTAATCTTCGCACACATTCGTGTAAATCCGTTTTAATGCCTGTTTCTGCGTGGTTGCTACGTCGAGAGGAAATTACTGGCAAGAAGCTTTCATCGAAATTCGATATATATCGATCGCGTATAAATGTTGTTTATTATTAAGTGTTCATTTAAAATTAAGACGGTGACAATAACAAAACTAGTTTTATGGTATGGCATTTAACACTTATTCTCGTGATGGTCTCATTTTATCATAACTGCAAAATTGAAAAGCGTAGGTATTTATGTATTTATCCCATGTATGTTTTAAGTTTCAAATGTTTCATGCGATGAGAAAGTATTTGTAAAATTATGAGAGAAAACATGGAAATTTCTATTTGTAAGAGTCCTACAATATAATATTATATCTTGCTTAAATGCATTTTTGTCAAATATTGAATTCTGTTTCGCCGTCATCTCAGTCAAGTCACAATTGAAGAAAAGAATCGCGAAACGTGTGGAAAATCAAAAGTCCGATGGACTGTTCTAATTATAGGAATTTCCCGGCAAAAGGAAAAACATTAAATTCAAATATCCTTAATTTGGAAAGGGATTTGAATCCATGTCGTTCTACAGTTAAAATTTTCAATCTGTTTCGTCGTAAATGTCATTTATTTCTGTATTTAGGAAAGTTACAAGGGATCGTGGTGGAAGCTCGCATGAGCAGACAGCTCCCGGACGTGGAGCAGTACCTGGGGATTCCATATGCGGCCGCGCCTGTGGGTAAGTTACGGTTTATGCCCCCGGGGTCGGCGCCGCAGTGGAAACAAAAACTGAAGATAGCGGACTCGTTCGGTCCCGTATGTCCCCAGAGATTCCCCAACAAGAGGAATATGCCGCCCGAACGTCAGGAATACTTTCAACGAATCGAACGACACTTGAGGAACCAATCGGAGGATTGTCTCTATTTAAACATTTACAGTCCCGTACAAGGTATGTTGTTGCAATTTTCTGTTGCGATTTTTAGCCGGATTTTTCTCATTCAGTCAATAACATTTACGCGAGGGAATTCCAGTGTACAATTGCTTTTAAAGGGTTTTTGTTTATCGACAATATATTGGTTTATTATTTTACGTTGCCAATAAATTTTTATTTTTAAAGTTAAGAAACCATTAACAATAGTATTTCCAAAAGTAATTATTAGAACTTTACAAGGATCCAAGGAAGTCCTCGCGTATTAATGTTTATTTATCTGTTTTGGAAAAATCTACATCTATATATGTACAAGCATCCTGGAGGAGACTCTGCTTCTGAATAATTACCAGGCTTTTGAAATATTTATTGATATGCTACATTATTTTTCGGGGAACTTTTGGTTTTGTTCTTTACCACAAACGTAAATTTTTTATCTCAATAACCAATCCTATTTTAATAAAGGATATTTCTCCATCTCCTACGGAGATATAACGAAGAAGTAGCATCATCTTGTCCATATGTTACAGTGCAAATATTTGGTTTTGAGGAAACGGGATAGCCCCGAACTGAAGGGACTTGCATAGTTATATTAGATGCAAAAACGTCTAATCTGTTAAGTTAGAAATTTTAGAAAACAGCAACACTTTAAGGCAGATTGTCTAATATTGCATTTGATATTGAGATGGTAGCTAATGTTTAGCTAAATTGTAAACAACCGATATATTGGTATATAAAAACGTGCCATTTCCGGGAGCGATTGCTTCTTCCGGCTTTTGCATCAATAGGAAAAGATAAACAAAAATGCATACAGGAAAGGATTAAATTTTAGCTGCCTACATATAGACGTTGTACTTAATTATTAATTTATCTTTTTTTCTATAATTTTTCACAAAAAGGGGGCGATATTTAGACGTATTAACGTCACATTTTCCAAATTGACCACAACATTATAAAAAACCACAATTTGTTCTTATAAGTATATGCAATAATTATAAAAGAACAATATGAAGAAGCCACTTTTTGAGAATTTTACTAAAAATGAATTTGTTTACCTATAAGTCAATATGGCTTGAAGCCGATAGTAACTAAAAAAAGTCCTACCAACAAGAAATCACTTTGCGAGTTAAACAGATACCATTTGTACTACTCGAAGATGGTGTTATAACCGAAACAACTGTTGGAGGTGCCAAGTGTTTCTTTTGTTTAATTTTTTTATTTATAGAAATTTTTCACCATGTGTCAAGCATTTCTACAATTTCAAACAAGTTCATATTAAAGACTGCATAAATATGTGCTTTTTAATACAATTTTTTATTAATATCATTTTTTTTTTGTATATCGTTGTCCTCTATATAATTCAAGCCTTTTCATAAAAAAAAATTAGAAAGGGTCTTCACTTATTTGGGTTTCCTTTCCATTTCTGTAGAATCAGATTATGTAAACTGTCAAATTTTATCTGTATAGTCTTCCTAGTCTTGTTATATATTATCTCTTTGTTGTAGACATGACTAAATTAGTTTATAACATTATGCCGACGGTAAAAGAAATTCCTGAAATTTTAGTTTCGTAGGAACACAAAGAAAACATTTTTTTTATTCTAATCGCGATTATCTACTACGGACTACGCAATATTGCCGGGTGTTCGGGGCGGTTCTTTTTTTATACAATAAAAGAACTTTGTTCCTGTTTACATATGAAAGAATCTGAAGAAGCGTATGGGTACCATATTTTGTGTTTCCGAAACTAAAGCCAAGGTTGACTGTTATTATATCCGTTCAACACGCCACTTACCGAAGTATCCGTTCGCGTTTTTTTTTTAGTTTAATCTAAATTTAGAGACACGTGCGCTAGGATTTTTCTTTAAAACCGAAATGAACTGTCACTACCGCTCATAAATCACTTTACACGGCGATAGGATGAAGAAAAATCGCTTATTGCCTTCCCACTGTACTTCCACATCCTAAAGCACATCACACAACTTTCTTCCGTTTTAATTTTGCGTGGAATTATAAATAGATTGTTTAATGTTATACGTAAATTTGGGTCCATATTTACTTTTAATATCTTAAGTTTCTAATAATAGACAACAGAGTAATCATTTTGAAAAATCAGCTTAATGAATATCAAGTCTTTATAATTTATTGAATTCATTATTAAGGAATTCGCCGCGTTAAAATAACAAGCGGAATTCTTGCAACTCCTTGTAACAAACAGAGGCAAAATTCGAATATAACCTTCCTATATAAATGTTGTTTTCTTCCGGGAATTTACAAAATTTAATCTGCCCAAATTGTACTAAATTTTTTGTGAATTTTATGAAATCTGTTATAAATACTAGGCAGTAATTTATTTTAAAGATAATAAAATAGATTACCCTTTATGAAATAAGCAAAACAGTACTTGTAAGTAATAAACATAACTTGCTACATAATTTACTTTTTCTGATTTATAATATATCTACATGTACATTTAATATTGGAATTTAGCAATAAAGCTGTTTATTTGTAGAATATTTAACAAATGTATTAGCAGGGTCGTAGTACTTTGAGAAAACAAAATGAATGAAAATCCTACCAACTAACAAAACATCTGAAAATTGCCTGGAATGCTTTTGTGAGAAAAATAATTGGTTGTTCAAAACTAAATTATCTTCTGGCAGCATTGAGACATAGCTACAATTAAATGCTTCGAAAAATTTTGTGCGATTTTTATTCTTTTGAATTTCTGTTGAAATAATTTCTGTATTTATTACGTCAATTTTTGGCACTGAATCGAAAAACGAAACAATTTTATTTTTGGACCCTAAGTTACATACTTACCTGACTTTTACAATACTTTAAGTTTTGTGCGACAACGAAAAATGTGTAACGTGTTTTACGACGAACCTTCTTTAAATTAGTAGATTAGCAATTCTGTGACGTACCTTAGCACCCGACAGGTGTAGTCTTAAGCCATTAAACGCTTAAGACGCTAACGAACCCGTGGGACTTTACTAACGAGCTACTCTATTTTTATGTCGCGTTGTAAACGAGCAGTTTTCTGGAGGTAAACGAACCTCATACTTTGGCACTCACAGCTCCCTCAAAAAATTTTAACTGGCTACAGGAACATCAACTTTTAAGGCTTTTCTTGCAACCACTCGACTTTTGTTTATCATTCGCCGAAATTGAAATTAATTTTTACAGGAAAAGGTTGCTTAAAACCTTCAAAACATCGAGAACTCAATTTCTTACGTAATGATTTCTTTTCATGATTTTCATAGAACGAGATTTACGGGCTTTGCGGTAAACAATAGGATATTATGAAGTTTAATAATTTATTAACTAAATTACGTACTTTATAATTTATTTCGCCAACTCAAGAAAAGCAATTTACTTTCAATTCTGTTTAGACATTAAAAGAATAATTATAAAAATTAAAATGTAAATGGCGTGCCTTTTTTGCCTCTTAGTTTAAACAAATCTGTAAGAAAAACAAGCCAAAATATATAACGTACATTAGGGAATTATAAACCAAAAAAACATCTGAAATACTTCGATAATACGGTTACCAACAATTACAAACAATACTTTGAGCTGCAAATCTATAATTATTAATGAGAGAGAAAACTTTTATATTTGACCGGTAGTACCAAACTTTTAAAATTGATCGAATTGATTCAGTTGTCTTCATATTGATTGACACAATAACTACATCTATGATTTTTGATTATTGATATGTTTAGATTTTCAGGCGCAGTAGTAGATAGATACCTAATAGAAGTGTTTGTTTATTTCCATCGTTCTTTGCAGTCAATCATTTAAAAATGAGTTTTAGTATTACATTTTACTTACTAGTAAGACGATAATTATTTACAACAAAATGAGCTGAAGTAATTTCAAAATTTCGTAATCGTAAGGATAAAAACTCTTTCTATCTACAAACGTAACCCCAACTGCCATGTGCCCCCTAATGTCTCATAAATTGAATTTAAATCCTTATTCTGCTTTGAGGTACTGATGCCTATTAAAACAGCTTCATCAATCCTGCATCGTCGAAAGCTCAAATTCCATTATGACGAATCAAAAAGAAACGTAAATCTAGAAGGCTAAAAGACTTTATTAATCCGATTTTCACATTGTGAATTTTAAATCTTACACTATTTTTGTGGATTTGCTTCTATTTTTTATTTAATATTTATCAAGTCCAGCTAGAATTAATCGAACAGGTCCTTTCTAAAGGATCCGTTTAGTCGTTGATTTTCCACTGTCGGTGACTAATTTACATACAAATTGAGCCAATCAGGTTTGTTTTGTTAAAAACGGGGTCGTTTGACTTTAAGGTTTGCCAAGTGACCTCTCGGTCGTCTTCTCAAAATCGATATGAAATTTTAGCTTCATGCAAATGTTGCACTGACTTTCCGTTTTCGTTCAAGACCCCGTTGATGTTGATATGCACCGAAGCTTTGCTCACAAAAGCACCTGTTTGTCAACATTCATTCCAACTTTGAACATATTTTAAAAATGCATTTTGCAAGTGCTTTCTTATGGGACAAATTCCATATCAAAAGATGGAGAACCTGACACATCGTTTAAATTTTCTTTATACTCGAATATACACTATGCACATCTTCTTATAAGTATGCAAAGTGTGTTAGTCTTCCCGAGATAAGAATGTTCAGTCTCTCAGGGTCTCTGAAAGCGAGGCTCGAGTCTCCGTCTCTCATCGAGTCTCTCTGGTGTCGCTGAGAGAGACTGTCGAAAGACTGTCAAAAAAATTGTTTAGCGTCTCTGAACGAGAGACTGGAGTCACTCATAGAGAGATTCTCATTTCGTATCCAGTCTCTGAACGAGAGACTTGAATCTCTCAATAAGTGGTGTCTCGATAGACATGGTGAAAAGTTCAACATATTTCAGAGATCCCAGCCTTTCTACGAGGGACTCGAGTCTCTCAATTTTTCAGTTTTATTCATTCAGTCTCTCTTCGAGAGACTCGAATCTCTGAATTAACAATTTTATCGTTCGAGTCTCTCATACAGA